AATGTAATTAGTTTCATGTTTTGTAACTGATACTATTCATGTCTTTCAAATATTTCTATTATTTATTGTATCAAAGACAGAATGTTGGGCTATAAAGATTATTAGGAGTCTATGCATTTTTTCAGCTAAAATGGACAACTTGATAGTTATGATACCTTATAAGAAAAGGACCTGGTAGGCTTAACATATGTAGTAAAATATCTTATGAGAGATCAACATTCAGGTCTGTTTTACTGGTTTTATTGGGATATTGTCTGTATTCGGATACTATCTTAATTTTAAAATATTTTTCCAGCTCCATTTGCAAATAGTTATGAAAAAGACATTACTCTTCTTTGCCTTTTTCCATACCTATTTTTTTCAGCATAACTGTAGTTTCCTAACAAACTCTACTAAGGATTCCATACGATTGATGTCATACTAGTCACCTTTTGCTGGAGGAACCCATTAGCAGAATTTTGCTGCTGACAAAAAGTCTATGAATAAGATTATGTCTGAAACAACAAGATACAATTATTACTGGGTGATGCTTTGCATTAAAATGTGTGGAATACTACCTTGAAACTTTGAAATCCACTTAGCTCTTGCCTATCTCAGCAATTTTGTTTGCTTATTTTTGTAGCAATTATGGGCATTTTCATTTCAGTGATGAATATAAAACAGATAGAAACTACTGAAATTATGTCAGTGCAATATATAAAGCACATTAATATACATGCTTATTTTAGGACAAACAATTCAATATTCATCTTAAAAAAGAGATATTTTTTGAGTGGTCAGCAACACAGTATTTATTTCATTCAGTGAGATATTGAAAAGACCAGGAATACATATTTGTAATAGTTAAGACAAACAGCATCTGCATTCAAAAATATTGTTTTACTTTTATGAAAATATAAGCCAATATGTTATGAATTTGAGGAAAATTAAGTGCAAAATTAAAGTGAAAAAAGACTATGTTCTTCATACAGACCAAAAACAGTGTAGACAGTATAGAAGCACAGAGGAATACAAAAATAGGTATTTGTATGGATAATAAAATAATTTAAAATTGCATCAAAAAGAATCAGAACGCAACCTTTTATTTAATTGCAGCTGGTTACGTCATTATGCATTAAAAGTTTTTTAAAGCATTCTGAAACTATTTGATTATCATAAATCACACTGAGGTTAATTGGACCATGTTTAGGATTTTATGGAAATAAACTCATACTTGAGCTTTGTAAAATTAGACAAAAAACCAATGTTCTTGTTTTAGAAAGTTTATCTTAGCTTTCTTTTATCTTGCTGTGTCTTCATGGAGGACAGGCTCTACTGAATCCTGGATGCTTATTCTTTTTCTGCTCAGAACGCTGGAATCAGAGTTAGTTTGCTGTTGGCTTTGGAGTGTGCACAGATCTTTTAGATGTGCATACATGGAATCCCTTACTAAATAGTCCTTCCTGGAAAACCAAGTACTACTTGGTGTCAGGAAGGAGCAAAGATGGAAAGGCAATTTGAAATAAAAAAAAAAAAAGGGGGGTTAGCAGAGTCTTTTTGAATGTAGTCTGGTGCTTATCATGTGACATACAAAAAAAAAAAAACCAAAAATAAAAGAAGAAAAATTAAAATCAATCTTGAGGGAACTTGCTGTGGCTCTAAAAGTTACTTCATAGAGATATAATACAAACACCAGAGATGCTTTTATGAATGTGTAATTAAGACATCTATTTTCTGAATAAACCAAATCAAACAAGGAAAAAAAACCCTAGACAACCCACCCCAAACCGAAACGAAACCCCAAACAAGCCAAACTTTTCAGTCTAGAAGGGAAAAGATAGAGGATACAGTGTAATGAGAAGAGTAATTAGAGAAAAATTATTTTATTCACATTTAAAAATGCATGTTCCAGTGTCAGGTCTGATGGGCATATCAGGATTGGTTACAGCTCTTTTAAATATGATTAAAATATAATTTTTGACAAAATTTAACTTTACTGAACATTTTATCCACTTCATATATAAAATTACACTTAGAAAAATAAAGAAGCTACTGAATTATATTTATTCAAGGGATTCACAATGCTGATGAGAATTTTAAGACTTTTTTAACATCTTTTTTCTTTTCCAGAAAGTACTTCAGTTCTCTTTAAGTTATTTGATTTTTTTTTTTTGTGAGTAAAAAAGTCCCAGGAACAAAAATCAGTATATTTATGTAAGGATGAAAAATACCCATGTTTCTAGCCATTTTTGATATCTGTGGTACCCACAAAGAAAACACTCTTTAAAATTAATTTAGACAAATTCCTGTTTTATTACACAAAATTCATATTACACAAAGATCATATTAGTCTTGCTCTCTTTGTATCTTCATTTCAGTACACTTTTTTTTGCAAGTGACATGGAGCACTCCACAGTGACAACTGATCTGGGTTATCCTCAATATTGCCAATAACATGTAGCAGGCTGAAAAAATAAACTTACTTTTCTGAGGAATAAAAAAGCAATGATTTCTAGGACTGAGTTAGTGAAATATATCAGTTGCTGAAGAAGAGAGTAAGTTAAAAGTTTTGAGGTAACACTTCATGCAAACAGAGCATCAAGGAAGAGAGTAATGATACCATGAATGATACAGAAAATGAGTCAAAATCACACATTGGGAAATACTAGGAAAAGATTGATTAAAGGGTGATAGTGATAGTATACTATACACTCACAGAGTCAGATGTTTTGATATAGAAAGGCACCTTGATAGTATTTTAGATGGTTAAATATTTCTGGGAATTGTGGAAGACTTTAAATTCTTTGTAGATTTAAAAAAAAAAAGGTTGCTAATATTCAGTTGTCCCTATTATTCTCTATGTTAGTAATCTGCAGACATTTTGAGACACAGTAGTGATAAGCACTACTTTCCTACCAGTTTTATTTTTTCTATTTCCCTAAAATTCTCATGTGCAAGCATAAATCCTGGTAAAAAAAGAGAGCTTGCTTATGTGGGAGAACGCACCTATTTGAACAACAGCCCTAATGAAAGGCAGCAGTGTAAACTGCTGGCAAAGTAATTCTCTCATAGCATGAATTTTCCCTATTTCAAGGTCATTCTGGTATAAAAGTCCTTTGCAGCTTGCTTGCAATATACATCTCAATGAATGTATGTTTTTTATTAGCAAGGATTATTCTTAGGGTCACTTAAGCACATTTTTGTGTGAATAAGATTGCATAGAGCATAAAGCCCCTGTGCTAGGCACCATAGTGATAACTTTTCCCTGTCCATGACATGTTACATGGGGCCCCAGCAACAGAGGTCTGGGCACAGACAGGAACGGGATGCTGTGCAGTGAAGCATCTTCTCATCTTTGCTGCAGAGGAGCTGGAACACTGCACAGCAGGTGGGACTCTGTGAACAGCTTGGTGGGATAGATGGAGCACTGGGTGATCTCTCCTTTCCCTCTAAGTAAATCCATGCCTGGAGTAGCTTTACCTGATGCGTAGGGTAATTTTAGTAGCAGTACTTCATTTATGCTAAAGCATGTCTGGTTCTGGTTGCTCAGAACTCTAACCCACAATGTAGGGATAAATTTCTCCATATCAGAACAGAAGACAATAGAAAGCATGCAAATTTAAATCACACATCTAAAGGATGGGGATGAAGAGTTATTACTTCAGAGGTGCAAAATAGCTGTGCAGAGGTTAAATCAGACTGACATATTCATCATACATTGTTAAAGAGTCCCATGCAAAATTACTTTCATCTTATTTTTGGAATGGATGTTGTACACATGGCCTCATCTAATCTTTTGTCACTTTGCAAAACAAAAGCTAATTTCAATTCTAGAAGACAGAACCATCTTCAACTATACAAGCTAACAGATATGTGCTGCAATTCGTAAAGAGTGCATGTACATTATAAACTTGCTTAGTTGCTCTACAGAGATGCCAATCCTAATTAGGACTTCATTGGCTTTTCCATTGAAAACAGTTAAAATTCCCTAATTAAGCATGAAAAAATTAATAAAAATTAAATTAAGACTGTGTACATAAGTAAATGAAGTTTCTGCCAAATTTTAACTCACCTTTCAGCCTGGGATGGGGTTTATCCTTCCCTGCCTCAGTGCCTTATCCTTTTCAGCTTAGACAAGGATAGTGGTCTGAGAGGTAAAAATCTTGTTCTGGCAGTATTTGTCCATTTGCAGTTTAGATAACTACTCCATTTTGCAGGTCTCAGATTATCATGTAGTTTAGCACAATACAACTCTTGAGTATTGTAGCAGTTGATTCAGGACTTTATTTTCTGAAAATTGAGCAATACAAAAAGGCTTCTGAAAATGGGAAGGAAAAAAACTCCGGAAGACAGGGTAGAGGACTAGTAGAAACAAAGAAACCAAATGCACAAGGTAAAATGAAGTCCTCTGAGTCTCCTGGGTCCTGGTATCTTTTTCTTCCCCCAGTTTCTATTTCCTGATACCATGCATATGTTTCTAGTTTACCTCTCTCCATCACTCCTGAGGAATGTTTTCTATTTCAGATTTTAACTTTGTTCTTCAGTCACCTTAAAAGCATACACAACATTAATATGTTGCATAGTAATACAGCATAGCCAGTTTCACACCTTAAACTCTCTCTGAATGCAGCAGTACAGATGAAACACTGTGTACAGCTTTTCTGTCCACCCCATGAGCTAAAAATGGTGTTGGTGTATTTTCACAGCTTCTGTATAGCTGGGAATGCTGGGAACATATGAGATGTATGAGGTTGGACTTCTAACACTTATATATTAATCTGGATATTAGCATTGCTACTAAAGGTAGTTTCTATAATTTATAGATGGCCTGTAATGTGACTAATATTAAATTAGCTAATACTTGTGTGAGGGTTCTCTGACATATGAAAAAGTGTTATCTTTATAAAATAGGTAAAGCTTAAGTGGATACATGAATGAATTTTGATTTTGTAGGTGCCTTTAGATAGTAAAAAAATGTAGAGGTTTTTTTCTGATTCTTCCATATATTTTTATCTTGACAGTACAAACAAGTGGAACAGTACATGTCATTCCACAAGTTACCTGCTGAAATGCGCCAGAAGATCCATGATTACTATGAGCATCGCTACCAAGGCAAGATCTTTGATGAAGAAAACATTTTGAATGAGCTCAATGATCCTCTTAGGGAGGTAAGAATAAATTACTGGAGTAGGTCTTCATGGTATGGAAAACTTTCATATCTTTGCTGTTTCTGTGTTGAAATGCTCTTTCTGATTCTATTCTGTAACATTTCATCTCATTTGACCTAGTCAATGAATGACCAGGATAATTAAATTTATATTAGATTGGCACAAAGAAATAAGCAGATTTACGCTCTGTTCTGAACCAGTCTGTCAGAGTCACTGTCACACAAGGAAGTCAAAGAGTAAAATTCCATCCTTAAGTGTTGTCAGAAACTCATGTTTTTCTGACACTTTTTGCAACAGAGTGGAGCTGGACTAGAATGGTCCTGGATGAAAACTTTTTTTGCTTTCCCTACTTGCTAACCACCCACCTGTACAGATAAAACTGTTGAAAGCCACCACAGAGAGAGAACTTCTCTGTGAAGTAGCATCCTTGGTAAAGATGTTCTTTACTTGAGATTACAAAGCTGGAATATGATATACAAGCCATTAAAAAATCTCTTTTGTTAAACCTGTAGTCTGTATTCCAGTTTTAGGGGTTATGCTATGCTATTTTATGTGATGTGATATGTGGAAGCAGTTGGAATTTTCTTTGCAAGTTGCTTGTGTGGGACAAAGGCAGTGTTCATCTTGTAGCAGAAGTAGCTGCTTCATGGGACTATAAATCAGACTCTCTTCTGTTGGGTGCAGCTCATGTCTGATCTTCTCAAGGATGTTGGCTGATATCCTCCACTGAAAGGAGGGGGAAAAAAAACAAACAGAAGAAGCAAGTTGAAAAGCTCAGAGAATAGAGAGCATGAACAGGGAAAAAAGAAAAGAAACAGGAAAAATCTAGGGAATTATCGCCAGACTGCGTGACAGTCGAAACATGAATCTTGGCCAGTATGGAGCTTGTGTTTTGTTAAGAGAACAGAAGCATGTACGGACATATCAGTCACTGACATCAGAAACAGTTTCATCCATTTACACTTTTAAGGAAAGCATTTCTCCATAAGTGAAGTCGAATACTCTTCCATTGCAAAATATTATTTTACTAACAGCAATTTGCAGTTGTTGCACTCTAATTACCTGTGTGTTCCTCTTTTCCTGCCTCCCTCTTTGTTTCCTCCCCTCCTCCCTCCCTTCCCTAGCCTTGTTACCTTCCCACCCTTTTTTCTTATACCTTAAAAGCAGCAAGGCAAATTTGGTCAACCATAAAAAACAAAAACCACTTCTGGAGAGAGATCAAGCATGGAAAATTTCAAAAATGAATGAGTCCCTAAAGACATGGAGGAAGAATAGGATTTTGTGGAGGGAATGACTTCTGATTTTGCTATGGTCATGTAGTACTTAGCATGTCTTCTTTGTTCTCTGTATTATAGGACAAAAAATTTTTTACTCAGCTAGGATCAGGTTGCGCACTACTCTGATGACAACATAGTAGTGTTCCAGAGAAAGGTCAAAAAAAAAAGAAAGAGAAAAATAAGAGCTGGACACTGGCAGTGCCAGAACAGGTTTCTCAATGAATCTGTCCAAATTTTGGTGGCAGCTCATTCACTGTGCCCTGAAAACCCCCCTTGAGTGTTTGCTTAGTTAGCAGTTTCAAATTTAGCTACCACTTCAGCATGTGCAGTTCAGTCGTGCAGGTAGTGGCTCTTTGATGTTACTAATGGATAATAAATTAGAGCCTTTTAGAGGCTTTCATATATTGGATGGGATTTACCATCTTACATGCCAACAACTGCACAAGGCTCTAATAGGTGATAGCACAGATAACCTAGCTGCATCACTGAAGAATAAATATTTACTGCATTTCTTAAGTTTGTAATTAATCCTACATTTGATTATACTTGGAATTTAGCGTAGGGTAAAAATTTAGTCTCCGCAGGATGTAATTATCTTGATGAAAGTAGCTTCTGACAAAGACATTCATCTGAAACTATTATTTTCTCGCTTAGAGTAAGCAGAACAAAAGAAACCATACAATTGCTGCATAATTATAGCATCACAAAATGTTATTAAAATAGTTGCCCTGTTTTCACTACTCCTTGCTCTCAACCATTGAAATTTACTGTATGGGCTGAAATTTTCCACAGCTAGGCTCTCTTTAGGAGTGTTGACCTTTTTTTTTTGGTCCACGTTTTAAAATTTTGGCTCTTTTTTAGCAGAAAAGTAATTATGCATGATATAAATGTTATCATTCAACCATTAAAAATAGCTAAAGTACATAGAATTAGCAGTAAAAATCTGGTGTAAAAATAGTTCTTACATGATAAATACTAGTAATAAAGCTGTATATGCTTATTAAATCACAGAATCATAGAATCATAGATGATGTTGAGTTGGAAGGTACCCATCAGGATCATCAAGTCTAACTGCTAGCCCTGCACAGGACCATCCCCAAGCATCACACCATGAGAGCCTGAGATCATTGTCTAAACGCTTCTTGACCTCTGTCAGGCTTGGTGCTGTGACCACTTCCCTGGGGAGCCTGTTCCAGCACCCAACCACCCTCTGGGTTGAAGAACCTTTTTCCAATATCCAACCTAAACCTCCCTGACACGATTCCCTTGGGTTCTGTCACTGATCACCACAGAGAAGAGATCAGTGCCCTCCTCTTCCCCGCAGGAGGAAGTTGTGACTGCAATGAGGTTTCCCCTCAGCCTCCTCTTCTCCAGGCTGAACAGACCAAGTGACCTCATCTGCTCCTCATACGGCTTCCCCTCAAGGCCCTTCACCATCTTCATTGCCCTTCTTTGGACACTCTGTAATAGCTTAATGTCTTTCTTATATTGCAGTACCCAAAACACCACACACTATTCAAGGTGAGGCCGCACCAGCGCAGAGCAGAGCAAGACAATCATCTCCTTTGATAGCAGAGGTTAAGACTTTTTTGATAAAAGAGGACATTCATAGTAGATTAAAATAATAAAAATCTGAGAAAAGATTTGATGAATATTTGATACAAAGGTGTGAGTGCCTAACATTGTTGGATGATAAAAACAGAATCATGTTTATTGTGGGGAACTAACTAGGTCTTCATAAAAGAAGGAAAAAAAGAATCCTGAACATCTTTAAATTTTACAATACTCTGTCTAAGTGCTTCAAAGCTGCGTATAGCAACTAGTGGCTGACCTGTATCATTTAAGCATAATCTTGTATTAACAAACAGATTGTGTTCAATGATTGAAAACTAAGGTAGACATTTATGAGACTGAAAAATTCTATATTCTCCCCAGTTTAGTTAATTGCACAATTTGGGTATATTAGTCCATTGGTAATGTAGTTAATTGGATATTTTCAGCTCTATACACTCAAACTGAATTAACCATGCACTGGAACATTTGATGTGCTACTACCTGCTCATAAGGACACATGCTCTCTGACAAAAGTAAAGGATAAAGGTTCATTTGTATTAAATCCAGAAATTTCACTCTAACTGAAAAACATATCCCCTTTTCCACAGTTAGACATCTAAATAACTGTCCAGTCTTCTCAAGAATAAAATAATCAGGAAACTCCTGGCAGTTACAATTTTGGTAGAGATGAAAGATTTTAAATTGCTTCTTCCAGGCCATGCAGGGTTGGATTCATCAAACCTATCCGTAGCTCCATGCAAGTTCTGCAACAAGTCTGAGATAATCATCAGGATCTCTCTGCACATACCACCCACACACATATGCTCTCATGATAAAGAAAACCTAGCTGACTAGCTTAGGAAAAAGGCTACATCTTCAAACAGCATGAAATAAATTGTTGACATGTGAAATAAATTGTCTTTAATAGCATTTACAATAAATTCTGTCCTTAATAGCTTTCCAATTAACTCTGTCTCTCCCTCATTTCTTGATGTAGTGATTAGAAATTGGTAACAATTAGCATGATTCCCTTATATAAATACCATCTCTGATTCTTCAGCAGACAGAGGTACTAAAGATCACATTTTTTAACTCTGAATTCTTACCACCTACATGCCTGAACATCATTTGGCCTCAGAAGGCCTTAGTCCTAAAAGGAGTCTTTGTAACCGTCATGACATGAAATGGAGATGGTACAGACAACACAGAAAGAAAAAAAAAAATCAAACTCAACAAAAACTCCATATAGATAAGAGAAATATATTCCAAAAGAAAACCTGAAGTATAAAAGTTTAAATACATATACATAGCCAGTTTCATCTTGTAAGAAATTTCAAAGTGGCTCAGCTCTGGCATTTGTCTAAGCCACCAGCCTCACTAGCAGTGGCTGTAAATGGAGGTCCACAGAAAAACAGGGTATCTGTTAATGACTCTCCTAGACTCACAATATTTTCAGGTTAAGGGGTACTCTGAGACTGATGTGATTTGATTACAGGGTAATCCTTAATACACATCTCTTGCGATTACTTATTTGCATTCTTGAATCTACACACTCTCTGCAACCACACCATCCTTTGTCAAGGAGCACAGACCTGTATCTTACTGCATGAGAAACCACTTCTTTCTTTTGGGATTGAACATGACTCTGACTGTTTTATGGTTCTGATGGCTATTAATTCTTGTAGCAAAAGTGATAGTACAGTCAATTCCTACCCCCTATTTGCATGACAGTTATGATTTTATAGACTTACATGATAACATCCTTAACTGTGATTTTTTGGTGGTAAAGAGATATACTTTATTTAATTCTTTCCTGTATGAAGCTAGCTTACCCTTATGATCATCCTTCTTGCCATTCTCAGTTTTTTTTTCCTGGCTCCACTATAGCCTTTTAGAGCTGATAGCATCAGGTCTGCAGCTAGCATACTGATGCTACAATAATAAAAATAATTAATTTCCTACTAATTCCTAACATTAATTAGCTTTTTAATCACTGCCAGCCATCAAGTTTTATTTTATTTTAATGTAAGAACTAACTCTAATAGGTAATGGATACATTATTTTGTGTGTTTAAATAGGTGTGTCACTTAATATTTCTCCACACAAGGCCAGAAGAAGCTTCTTGTAGTTTCTTTTTAATAAGCTACTTCATCTTTACATGGTGCTGTT